CATCAAAACAAAACATGACAATTTTAAAATAATCATAAGACAGGTAATAAATAACAAACTTCTATTTTGATGACTCATATTCAAAATATTAAAATATTTTTCCCATACATAAACCAATCCATGAAGGCATTAAACCTAGAATGCTTATTTGGTATTTAAAAAATTGTAACAGCTGAGCAAGTAAAAATTTGTAAATAATTCCCTTGAAATCCCATAATTAATATATTACAAAGTATAGTGGCAATGGTAACCTAACTATGTTGTTATTCATCTTTGTAAACCATGACTTCACATAAATTTAAAAGTATAAAATGAAGGCCTAGATCTTTTTACTTTCATTGAGGTTATAATTTACAGCCTTCCTCTAATTCTATATTTTCATACATTAATTCAGAAGCAGAACTGGGATTATTTTTAATAAATCAGATTTTAAGATGTGAGATTACTTAATATTTCTGTCCTCTTTTTCTCAGCACAAAGGTAGTGGCTATATTTATTACATCAGGTCAAAAGGCTTACATGAAGCCTACTGCCCTAAACACTACACTGACTACTGCACTCATAGCATTGATGCCTACAAAGTCCATGCCGAGGGTTTCTCAAGGTGAGGTCTTCCAGAATTAACCCCAAGATGATCACATACTTGGTTAAGTTTATATAACAAATGCTATTTATAAATGTAAGGTATTATAAAAATGGGAAGGCATTTTCATGAGTAGCTGGAGAGACTATCACTTTTTAGTAAAAACTGGATGAAAATCTAAGCCTTACCTTTTAATACGTGTGGGACCCTAGTCAATTTACTTAATCTTTCTGTGCCTCAGTTTCCCCCTACCAAAAACGACAATCCTGAAAATACTGATCTACAGAGTTTTTCTAAGAAAAAATGAGGAGACAGCATGTAGTATCTAGCATATGCTTGGAATACAGTAGGTGCTAAGTAAGTATTAGTTTTCTTCCCTCTTAAACATGGTGCTCTTGTTTATTCTATAAAATACTTTCAAAACATAATGATATTCAAAAATATGGATTCTAATGAGAAAGAAAGAGAATAAAATTTGTCTAATGATAAAGGGAATTTCTTCAAAGGCTAGAGCTAATAGTCAGAAGTGTATATGATTCCTTATTGGTAAGCCTGACTACATATTTCTAGCAGGCTACTCATATGGAGTTCACTGAGAACTAAAGAAAAGTATCAGAAAGAAGGAAATACTTTTTATTATTTATTTTGTTTAAATCTTTCAGTTTTACAATTGAAAGTTTTTTATCAATAAGAAAATAAGTTATTCCATTAGACTGTACAACTGTTTCTGCCTGGAACAGAATTTCTAATGCAAAATGAATTGCTATCATTTTTGTTCAATCTGCCATTTATGTCAGAATTTAAAATAATGTCAAGAAAGAGCTAGTAAGCAATAAAGTTTAAAGTTACATTGCACAGAGAAAAATCAGTCATTTTAGAATTTACATTTAAAATTTGATGTCATTCAAAATCTTAAAATGAAAATCTACTTCAATTATCATAGGCAATTAAGACAAATACCTATTTGTTTCTAGTATATGCAATCATGTCTTACAATCTAGTAACATAACAATTTCCTGTACATTAAAATGAATTGAAAAAATGAAAGAGGCATATAAAAAGCACAATATTACAATTAAAAAGGGCAGCCATTTAAATGTGTCACTATATTAAACAGGTAAATACTAAACAAATAATTTTTTGTCAAAAAAGCGAAATAGTTCCATATATATGTTAGCTGATAAATACGAATTAGTAATTCTCATTTCCATTTCTTTAAAGTGCATCTTAAATACAAAGTGCTTAGCGTTGCTTACATTTTTGAAATAGAAATGCTGCAAATAAATTAGATTTTTTTTTCTATTGAAGGAGACCAGGAAATTTCACCCCAAAATATGGCACCCTGGTATGCTGATTATTTTTAATTAAAGGCCCTTGGAGACTGGTAGATACTAGAAGAAGCTTTATTCTGATACTCCCTTATCTGCTTAAACTCCAGACTCTTCAAAGAAGAAAATTACTACTGGTCCCTTCCTTGAGTTTTCATTAACTCATACTGCAGGAATAAAGACTGAAGTCTGTCAATACACCTGAACAGAACCATTGTCTTCTCTGTGGGCCCACAAGGCTTTGTCTCAGGACATTGTATGCTCTCCAAGCCCACTGAATTCCCCTAAAAATCATTTACTATCCCCCTTAAAATCATCCACATCTGTCTCTCCTCTGTGAAGAGTATATAAGCATCTGTACCCCCACTGCACTATTGTATAAACCATCATTCTCTTGTAATTCCCTTGTGCTATGCACGATAAAATAAATTTTGTATGTCTCTGCTATTAATCGGCCTTTCTTCAGCTGATTTTCAGCAAACCTTCAGAGGGAGAAGGGAGAGTTTTCCCTTGGCCCCTATATTAACTTAGAAAACATAATTTGACTACATCCCCCATACCTCTTCATAGTAGCCTGAATGGTGGCCCACAAAAAGATACGCTCATGTGCTAATGCCTGGGAATCTGTGAATGTTACTTTATTTAGAGAGAGTCTTTACAGAAGTAATTAAATTAAGAACTCTGAAATAAGAAAATAATACTAGATAATACAGGCAGGCCCTAAGTCCTATGACAAGTGCTTTTTATAGGAGAGAGGCAGAGGGAGTTTAAAAACAAACACACAGAGTAAAGTGACACACAGAAAAGTAAAAGGCCATATGAAGCTGGAGGCAAAAACTGGACTGATGATGCCTCAAGCCAAGGAATGTCAGCAACCATAGAAGCTGGAAGGGGTAAGTTACTGATTCTCCCCTAGAGCCTATGCAGGGAGAACAGCTCCATAGACATTTTGATTTCAGAATTCTGATCTCCAGAACTGTTAAGTGAATAAATTTCAATTGTTTTAAGCCACCCAGCTTGTGGTAATTTGTTACCACAGCCACTGGAAATAAATACATCCACTACAAATTCCAGTAATTACTTGAGAAGCATTGATTTAATTAAACAAAAAACATTATTTTGAAAAAGCAGTCCATCCCTTAGTTTAGAATCTATGAAGGACATTTCTTCTATTCAACTTTAAATGCCTTGATTCATTATCTCTTCCTGAATGAATACTTTCAGTGAACCTTATTGGTTAAAATCTATAAATAAGAAAATACAAATTACACAGAGTGACGGTGGCCCTTCTTATTATACAGAAAAGGAAAGTGGGTAAACCAGGAGCACTGAACAGTGTGGAGAGATCAGGCAAAGGAAAGACGTAGAGAGGGGATCATCAAACTCTGTCTACCTACACCTGACTGACCTCCAAATGACAAGTGCGAAACAGACTCCAAACATCCCAGCTAAAGACAAAAGATTTGAAAAAAGAATGGAGCTGCTGCATAGGATAAGAAACTACAGTTCAAATCCAGCCTCCCCACAAAAAAAAGAACCTTTAATAACACAGGAAACAATAATCACCAGTGGAAAACAAGAGAAGAAAAATCTCTACAATTTAACACTATTAATACGCAGTGCAAAATTCAAAATTACCCAACATACAAAGAATGAAAAAATGGAACACATTCTGAAGAAAAAATAAAATCAATCAAATCTATCTGATCCCAAGATGAACCTGATGCTGAAAATAATAAAGATTTAAAGTGGATATTACAGCTATTTGCACTTAAGAAAAAAAAGTTTTCAATACAGTCACACTCCACATAACATTTTGGTCAATGACAGATACATATATGACTGTGGTCCTCTAAGATTAAAATACTGTATCTTTTCTATGTTTACACATTTTTAAATATACAAATATGTTTAAATACATAAATATGTATACCATACTAAGTTGTGTTACAACTGCCCACAGTATACAGTATGATAAAATGCTGTACAGGTTGGTAGCCTAGGAGCAACAGGCTATGCCATATAGCCTATGCGTGTAGTCGGCAATACCATTAAGGTTTGTCTAAGAACACTCTATGATGCTCCCACAATGACAAAAATTGCCTGAGAACACATTTCTAGAATATACCCCATAAAGTGATGAATGACAGTATACGGTATAGGAAGGTTTTATAGAATTCCTCTGTGAAACCATTTGCCCCTGGGTGCTTTTATGGAGTAATCTCTCCCTTAATTTTCTCTATTTCTTCTATAACATCAGTCTGTTTAAGCTTTCTAACTCTAATAGGAGCAACTTTGGTCATCTGTACTTTCCCAGAAAATTACTCATTTCATATAGGTTTTTAGAAGTATTTGCAAAGTGTCTCATGACATTTAAAAAAAATTTTTTGTGTGTATATTCAAGGTTTACAACATGATGTTACAGGATACCTATAGATAGTAAAATAGTTACCACAGTGAAGTTTATTAATGTATCAATCGTCTCACAGTTACTTTTTGTGTGCAACAAGGGCAGCTAAAATCTACTTATTTAACAAAAATCTCTAATTTTAGTAACTTTAGTCCTCAAGTTGTACATCTCTCAACTTTTTCGTCCTACATGTCTGCTATTTTGTGTCCTTGTACCCACATCTCCCCATTTCCTCTACCCTCCCCACTGCCTGTGGTAACCACTGTTTCATTCTATATCTCTATATTTGAGCTCTTTTTTTATTTATAATATTCCACACATAAGTAAGATCATATAATACTTTTCTTTCTGTGTCTGGCTTATTTCATTTAGCATAACATCCTATAGGTTCATTCATGGGTGAGAAATGGCAGGATCTCCTCCTTTCTAAAGGCTGAATTATATTCCATTGTATATACAAGTGACCTTGAACTCAGGTGTTAGCAGCACCAACCCCTGCACAGTCGAAAATCTGAGTATAAATTCTGGCTCCCTAAAAACTTAACTACTAATAGCCCACTGCTGACCAGAAGCCTTACCAATAACATAGTCAATTAATACGTATTTTGTGTATGTATAATGTACTATATTCTTACAATAAAATGTTACAAAAGCCATATGGAAGAGAAAACATATTTACTGTTCATTATGTGGAAACAGATCATCATTAAGGTCTTCATCCTCATTGTCTTTACGCTGAGTAGGCTGAGGATGAGGAGGAAGAGGAGGGGTGGGTCTTGCTGTCTCAGTGGTGGCATGGCAGAAATGAAAGAAAAATCCACGTATATGTTAACTCACACAGTTCAAATCTGTACTGTTCAAGATCAACTGTATATACCACATTTTCTTTATCCATTTTTCCATTGATGGACATTTAGATTGTTTCCATAGCTTGGCTACTGTGACTAATACTGCAATAAACTTGGAAGGGAAAGTATCTTTATGAGGTAGTGATTTCATCTTCTTTGGTTATATACCCAGCATAGGGATTGCTAGGTCGTATTGTAGTTCTATTTTTAATTTCTTTAAGAGCATCCATACTGTTTTCCATAAGGGCTGTACCAATGTACATTCCCATCAACAGTGTACTAGGGTGTTTCTCCACATCCCTGCCAATATTTGCTCTCTCGTATCTTTTTTGATAATAGCCGTCCTTATAGGTGTGAGGTGATACATCATAGTGGTTTCAATTTGCACGTCCCTGATCATTTGTGATCTTGAGCACCTTTTCATACACCTCTTAGCCATTTTTATGTCTTCTTCAGGGAAGAGTTTATTCAGGTCCTTTGCCCATTTTTTAATCAAGTTATTTTTAACGTATTGTTTCAAAGATGTCTTCTTCTTGTTATTTCTTATTTTACATAGTTATACTTTTTTTCTTTCAATAAGTTAGCTAATGGTTTGTCTATTTTGTTAACTTTTTCAAAAACACCAAGATTGTTCATCTGATAAATGGATATAAACAAAATGTGTTATTTCCATAAATTGGAATATTATTGTCATAAAAATAAGTGAAGGATTGATACATGCAGCAACATGAATGAACCATAAAAATGTTATGCTAAATGAAAGAGGCCAAACTTTAAAAGCCACACTTTGTATGATTCCACTTATATGAAATGTCATATAAAAAAATCCATAGAGACAGAAAGCAGATGAGAAGTTGCCAGGGTCTAGGAGGAAAGGGGAGTGATGGCAACGCATTATCGAGTTAAATGTTCTTGAATTAGATAGCAGTGATGATTACATATCTGTGTGAATATACGAAAAGCTACTGAATTATATGCTTTATTTTTTATTTATTTATTTTTTGAGACAGAGATGCCCTCTGTCACGCAGGCTGGGATGCAGTGGCACAATCTCCGCTCACTGCACCTGTGCCTCCTGGGTTCAAGCAATTCTCCTGTCTCAGCCTCTGGAGTAGCTGGGACTACAGGCGCATCCCACCATGCCCGGCTAATTTTTGTATTTTTAATAGAGAAGGGATTTTGCCATGTTGGCCAGGCTGGTCTCCAACTGCTCCCTCAAGTGATCCGCCCACCTCAGCCTCCCAAAGTGCTGGGATTACAGGCGTGAGCCACTGCGACCAGCCAGAACTGAACAAAGGGGTGAATTTTTTTCTGTGATTTATAACTCAATAAAGTCGTTTTTTAAAAACCACTGGCCGAGGGCGGGGGCTCACGCCTGTAATCCCAGTACTTTGGAAGGCGGAGGCGGGCGGATCACGAGGTCAGGAGATCGAGACCATCCTGGCTAATGCGGTGAAACCCCGTCTCTACTAAAAACACAAAAAATTAGCCGGGCGCGGTGGCGGGCGCCTGTAGTCCCAGCTACTCGGGAGGCTGAGGCAGGAGAATGGCGTAAACCCGGGAGGCGGAGCTTGCAGTGAGCCGAGGATCGCACCACTGCACCTCAGCCTGGGCGACAGAGCGAGACTCCATCTCAAAAACTAAAAAAAAAAAAAAAAAAACCACTGCATTGCAGGGAGAGAAAACATCAGGATTTGGCTTACTTGCTAGAGTTACTCTTTTTCTATTCTTTTGTCATCAATTCTGTTTTATATTATTTTTCTCCTTCTTTCTGACTGTACTCGTTTTCTTTTTTAGTTTAGCTGAAAATTTAGTTCATTTATCATTTATCGATTTTATTAATAAAAGTAGTAAAATAAATTTTCCTCTAATCACTGCTTAAATACACCACATAAATTATGATATAAAGTGTCTTCACTGTCATTACATTTTTTTACAATTAAATACATTTAATTGTATTTCTCCTTTTACAATTTTTTAAAATACTTTTTAAAAAGTTGTTTAGTCAAATTTTTTAATTTCTAGGTGAAAGGGCTTGTATTTGGTTTTGTTAGTAAATCCTAGTTTTAGTGCACTGTAATCAGAGTGTTTATAACAGTTCTACTTTATGGAAGTTATTGTTTTCCTTATAACATAATATATAATCAGTTTTTGTGAATGTGCCATATGCACTTAAGAAAATGAGTATTTTCTCTTACCAAGGTATAGCATTCAATATACAGTATACCCAGAAGATCAACCTTATTGCCTATATTGTTTACACCTTCTACCTCCTTATATTTTGTCCACTTAAATCTATCTAGTAATAAAAGCAGTATAATGCAGTATCCTGTTATTGCTATGTTTCTATGTATGTGTCCCTGCAAACGCCTGAAGTTTCTGTTTCAGAAAGCCAGTTGCTCTATTTCTTAACGCATAAAAGTTCTGGTATGATGAAAACTATTTTTATATAGCCTTAATATTTAAAAAGCAGCTTCGCTAGATATAAAATCTCAAATTCGTACTTCTACTGACTTTTCTTTGAACGCTGCTCTATTTTTGCCTTGCTTTATATATTGGTTTTGAAAAGCGTGATGCTACTTATAATTCTTTTGCTTTTATTTGAATTTTTTTCATGGTGGTCCTAAGGATTTTATCATTATCTTAATAATCTAATAATTTTTACTGGGATATGTCTTGCAGTTAATTGCTATGGATTAATCTTTCATTGCACTTGGCATACTTTCAATGTGTGGATTTCCATCTTTTTCTATCTGGAAAGTTTTCTTGAATTATAGTTTTAGATATCAGCTCTTTTCACTTGTTTTGGTTTTTTCCCCTTAGGGACTCAAATAAAATAAATATTATTCCTTCCTTGACTAAGTCTTACACTTCAACTACTTTCTCTCTGACATTTATTCTTTCTTTAAATTCTCATAGTTGTTTTTCCTTCTTCAATGCTCTTTATCAAATTTTCATTCTAGTCCATTTTCCCTTGGGTACCTTGTAATGTATTCTTTATTTCCAAAATAATTCTGATATCATCTTCCATTTCTTTCCAAAGCTCCATCAACATTTTTCCCCCATTTGTCCCTGTTTATTATTGTCCACTTCTGCCTTCAGTTTTTGAATTTCTGACTCAAGTGATTTTTCATACTTCCAAATGCTTGTTTATTTAATTCTGTTGGAGTATGAACTTAGAGTTATAGTTCACGGTTGTTTTGGAGGAAAAGAATTTTCCTCGGTCTGTGTGCAAATTTGTTTCCTGATTTAGATATATTTTTGTTCATTTTTGTGACATTGGGCTGTTTTACAATATTTCTAGTCCAATGTCACCCTTTCCTACCAGTCAATCAATGCCATATACTTTAATGAAGTGGTTGGTTTCATTAGCAGGCATATTATGAATCCTCCACTTTTGTAGTTCTCTTTTGTCTCACAGGGCCTTAATTTTTCCCCTTTCCTTCTTTCGTCTTTATTTTCCAATTGCCAAAGGAAATGCCTTCCTTCCTTTTTGTTTTTTTCTCTCCCAGAAGCTATGCATTTCAAAAATTGAACCCTTTAAATCATAGCTATTCTTTGAAATTAGACTTACCCATTTAAATAGAATCTATCCCTTTAATTCACACACAAATTCCTTTATATGGCATGTGTCTATTTTAAGTTGCATGCCTGACCCACTGTTTTCATCTGTTTCTCTCTGGCCCTTTATTTGGCACCTCTCCTTACTTTGAAATATCTTCCTAATATACCAAGTTTCTTTATTTTTCACATTTAGCGTGGATTTGATCTTTCTGGTGGTCATTCCTACCACCCTCCAGTCACTTCATTTGCATCTCTCCTCTGCTTTTCTATAGATTTTTTTTGTTTTTTGTTTTTTGTTTTTGAGGTCTGCCTTGGATCAACAAAGTCCCACAAGTGGGACAAGATTGGCATAGGAGTGTGTGGAACCATGGGGCTGGCTTTTAACTTTTTCTTTTCATTCACAGGTCTTTGATAGTTTCCACATTCTGTGTGCTCACATAAGGTTGAGAGCATCGCTTTACACAGATTTTGCTTACGTGTGAAGTTATCCGTATACTTTGGGGGAAAGATTTTTGGAAATTATTTACTACACTGCCACCATTTTCTAGTTATCATAAGTCCTAGTAGGATTTTCTTCAGCAAATAGACAAACTGATCCTAAAATTCATATGTGATATGATTTGGCTGTGTCCCCACCCAAATCTCATCTTGAATTGTAGCTCCCATAATCCCCATGTGTCACAGGAGGGACCCGGTGGGAAGTAATTGAATCAAGAAGGCGAGTTTTTCCTATGCTATTCTCGTGATAGTACTAAGTCTCATGAGATCCGATTGTTTTATAAAGGGCAGTTCCTGTGCACACGCTCTGTTGCCTGCCACCATATAAGATGTGCCTTTGTTCCTCCTTCGCCTTCTGCCATGCTTGTGGGGCCTCCCAAGCCATATGGAACTGTGAGTCCATTAAACCTCTTTTTCTTTATTAATTACCCAGCCTCGGGTATTTCTTCACAGCAGTATGAAAATGAACTAATATGGAAATGCAAATGCTCAAGAATACCCAAATTTCCTGAAAGAAAAGATGAGGGCTCACACTAATTGTTATCAGTACTTATCATAAAGCTTCATCAATCGAGATAGTGTGATATTGGCATGAGGACAGTCAATTAGAATAATACAAAAAAAAAATCCAGGCATAGACCCACAAAATACAGTCAACAGATTTTCAATCAAAATGCCAAGTCAATCCAATAAAGAAATTTTTTTTACAAATGTTACTGAAATACCTGAATATCTGTATAAAAATAAAAATAATACCTGCTTCTTTCCCACTCCACAAACCAACATAATTTGATCATATTCTTAAATATAAAACCCATATCCTACAGCTTCTGGAAGCAAGCATAAGAAAGTATCTTCACAAACTTGAA